AATCTTCATCCACGATTGAAATATAAAGAATTAAATTTTTAATTCTTTTTAAAAATCTAACTTCTATTTATATTTTTAATATAAATCTATGATTCCCTTTTTCTTGCCAATCTAACAGTTCTGAGCAGAAAGGTAAGCAATGAAAGAGAACTGTCCAGACTGTCCAAATTTCCCGGACAGATGACTCCGCTGGAAAACATGGACCGCATGAAAAGTGGTGAACCGAGAGTTTAGAAACTCTTGGTTAACGAATACCAGGTACCATTATGCTGCTGATTGTTATGAATCGGCCAACCAGCTTTGCTTAATCCTAGCTGCTGCAGTTTCTCCTCTCATAAATCAGCAAATTCGTGAATCTACCAGTTGTTTACATTCATGAGAGAGAGAGTCTTGCACGATATTTCTCACTGAATTTCGACCAAATGTCCTAACTACCAGATTTTCTAACTGCACTGCAGGAAATTGTAACACATCACCCTTCCCTCGAGTATTCATTCATTTTCCAACTGCTATTCATCTTTTTTTTTCATTAAAACAAATGAGGGAAACTCGAATTTTTAATAATTATAATTATAATAATATTTCATCACTTTAGGAAATTAGTTTTAAATAAAACGCACTTTACCATTGCAGTGATAAATTTTTTAATGAAAAAAGAAGCTAAATCGCATTTATGCCAGAGAAGCAAAGGAAAAATTGTGATATTTATATAAAATATCCCATGATCCTTTAAGCTGCTTTATAAAATGAGAGGAAGCAAGGATTTCTAATCATACTAAGTGTCTCGTAATATTCGATAGAACAAAGGAACACAATTTTCTTTAACAAAAGCGAGATACCTTTTTTTTGCAACTCATAAAAGAAACTCTTCTTTGAAAACGATCGATAGGAAATTGCTTCAACTTTCTCTGAAAACTTTCACATCATGAATGAACTGCGTCCTTGCATGATGTATCGCTTCAACAAACGCAAGTGTATGCTGCTCACGAACAATATTTCGCGAAAAATTTATCGAAACATTCGTTATCCGTGGACGGATATAAATTCTGGCCGGGTAGTTAGTTTTCTCGTTCATCAAAAGCATTGTTTCGCCACTGTTTCGAGACACGCGGCTTGTTCCTTGGCAACTTTCTTCGAGTGGTCCTATAAATTTTTATTGATGAAACTTGGGTACACAGACTTGGAAAGCTTGGTGATTTATGGAAACGCGGCTTCTACTATTTTCTTTAGAGATATTTCTCAAGATTTCCGTGCGGATTTTCCTTCAGACGTCGTTTATTTGCTCGTCAAATAAAGTAGGGGAGAAAGGGCTCATCGTGGTCATTATTATAAAAATTCCAGGAAATAATATATCTTCACTTTTGTAACAAATTTTAGTGACAGAATCACTTAAAAGAAAGATACATTGAAATCAAATTTTTATAGTTGTTTCGTGTAACAAATGATCATGTAATAATAAAGTTTCTAGTACGTTTAGATAAATGTATATTGCATCATTTATATTAATAATATATTTGTATACTTTTTATTTTTCATTAAAGCAAAAATTGGATGCAATTACGCATTTCTTTTTTATTATTTACAACTTTTTAAATTACACGAGTAATTCGACTCATGAGAATCAAAGTATCTTTTTTTTTTAATAATATAAATGCCTGATATTATATAATTTGATTTACAATAAAAATTTGAACAAAAACAATTTTTTCATCCTTTTTTAACTGATTTAGAAATTAATTAATGCAATGCGTTTCTTAATCCTTGGATGACGGACCATGGAGAGATCCACAATTCTAATTTAATTCTGTACTTCATATCATTAATACCTTTTTAAATATCTTCAATAATTTTGTTTAAAATTGGAATTTTATATTTTATTTGTGATCAAAAGTTAAAATAAGAATATTAATAATTTGTCATGCGTAACCATGATAACTCCATTCTCTCCTAAATTGTATAACCACTAAAGATTGTCATTTTGATAGTAGTTTTAATGCATTCGTCAATTAAAAAAAAATTTTTTTTTTAAAGGTAATTTTTGTATTTGAATAATACAAAAATTGTGTATCTAATAATATTCAATATCTCTTTTTTATCTTTGTCAATAAAATCATTTGAAGCAATTGCTATGCCTGGAACGACATATAAATGTTCCACATATTTCATACTGCCCCATTTAATTGAGCGAAGGCAAAACAATTCGAGTTCCATCCCACATCTCTAAACACAGTAAAATCCCCATTATCTGGTTGATACACTACCCAAACATTCTGTTATCTGAACATTCCATTATACGAACGATTCATTCTACAACGTCGTATCCTGTCTCCTTTGAAACAGGAACGCTTAACCAAGGGTTTGATTATAATACAACATAGAATGCACGCAAATTCATGCTAAATTAACGGCATAGTCATCCGAATAGGGTCGTAATGTCACGCATTTAGAAGCACCAATTGCGTTAAACAGAGAGACCATGATGCAATTAGGGTCATTGGAATAAGTCAATGTTGTGATTCCATTATTGATAGGAATGCTATTATTATTGAAATGGAATTTTAATAGAAATTAGAGATAGAATATTTCCACAAATATAATAACTATGAATAGATGAAAGATTAGGATTTTCGAAGGTTGTTTATCTACTTTGGGTTGTATGGGTTATTCCTAGTCCATGGTATAATATTAGGAATAGAAATTTTGCAAAAATTGTAATTTCTGAGAATAGATAGAATATATTACAATTGCTGAGAAAATCAAAATAGTAAAATAGTAAAGTAGTAAAATAGTAAATTAGTAAATTAGTAAATTAGTAAATTAGTAAATTAGTAAATTAGTAAATTAGTAAATTAGTAAATTAGCGAATTAGCCAATTTGCAAATTGGCAAATTAGTGAATTAGCAAATCAGCAAATTAGCGAATTAGTAGATTGGCGGGCTAGTGAATTAGTAAATTAGTAAAGCAGCGAATCAGTAAATTAGTAAATTAGCGGGATGCTGAAATAGAAAAAATAGTAAAATAGTAAAATAGTAAATTAGTAAAATAGTAAAATAATAAATTAGTAAAATAGTAAAATAGTAAAATAGTAAAATAGTAAAATAGTAAAATAGTAAAATAGTAAAATAGTAAAATAGTAAAATAGTAAAATAGTAAAATAGTAAAATAGTAAAATAGTAAAATAGTAAAATAGTAAAATAGTAAAATAGTAAAATAATAAAATAGTAAAATAGTAAAATAGTAAAATAACAAAATAGTAAGGTAGAAAAATAGTAAGACAGCAAAATATTAAGATAGTAAAATAGTAAAATTCCAAAAAGCATAAAATTTGATCTAATTTTTCCCAAGAGATTGAAACAAGATGAACAAACAGCAAAATTACTCTTCCATAACAGAATTTCTCTTATAATTTAATGTCGCATCTGTCTACAGGCACCTTGGTACGACGGAATAAGCTCGAGGCTGTCCAAACAGCACCATCGGAAGCTTGTTTATCGAGCATTTGATTTTTCCAGCAGAAAGCCACGCGTGTTCAGCTTTCCATCCCTCGTTCAAATACACGATTGTACTTGCAGTCTCGAGGTAATCCGTGCTCCTTTCCCGACTGCACCGTTTATCCTTTAATTCCTCGTGTCAACATCAAACCCAAGCCCCTGGCACTTTCACATTCGAGGTAATTTTCATGCTTCAACCCGTCCGACCACAACCTTATCCATGCTCGTTTTACAACGTTCGGACTCGTGTTCTGGCACATCCCTCTTTTCTCTTTGGCTTTGATATAAAGTCGGTGAACATATTCAAAGGGTTGATCCCTTTCTCATCTACGAATTACCAACGACACGAATTTTCTTCGATACCGTGTTGTTTATTCCATCATAATTTTGAAATAATCAACATCGAAAGATGAAATTTTAATCAATAATTCGAGGATTTAATTATCTAAATAACGTTAATGAAAAATCAGTGCTTCTATTAGGGGAAATTAGATTAATCGTTTGCTAGAGGGTAGCAGCTTTATTTACTGACTTGATAGAACGCCAGGGTAAAAATAGAAGACAACCACAGCAACCTTTAAATAGGTCGACCGTGTTGAAAATTTTCTCCTTTCAGGACGCTCCTTCGGGCATTAAACTCCTCTTTTAATAACGTGTTACCTGACCAAGCAACGTCGATGATAAGTACACGTGTAGCTCGCCTTTTTGGACGATAAACTCCCCTCAACACGTGTGTCGCGAACATTTAAGTGTCCTTCACTGGGATTTTCACACTGAGCCTCGTCGAAAGTGGCCAATCGATTCGTCGAATTGCAGTTCAGTTCCTTATTGATTTATCAGGGTGGTGAAAAAAAATGAGATTGATATCGTTTAAGGTGGAACGAATGATTTGATGTTTTTATTGATAAAGATAATTATAAGTGATATGTTCAAAAGCGGGGATGAGGTTGTGATAGAATATTTGTTGGACAGAAATAAATTCCTTCTTTCTATCCAGAAAAATAGTTGCATCACAACTTTTCCCGCACTCATTGTGTTTAAAAGTAACTTCGTTCCTGTCCACAACACCTTCGAGAATCGCATAAGATAAAAAATAAAAAATGCTTTGAAAGAAACACGATTACAGCTCTTACCACTGAATATCAACAGTATAAATTACGTAACAGTCTTTTTCTTTTTAACAAAGCATCTACTAACATACACATATTCATTCAAAGATTCTTTATTCAATCGAATCAAACTTCATTGAAATTTCTAGGTGTATTTAATACTTTGATGGTCGCTTTGAGGTAATGTGTACAATTATTGACCCCTAAAAGAGTAAGAAATATAATATAACGCGTTTCTTGGCCCTTGGACGGCGGACCATAAAGAGAGTCCTCTGACGGCGCGGCGGACCATGAAGAGAGCCATAATTTTAATTTAATTTTGTGTTTCATGTTCTGAATTTCACACTGTTCCTTTAAAAATTATTCTTCTAGTAAATGAAACCCTTCGGTTTAAAAATTTATGCGTTTAACTTTAATTAAATAATAAAATATAATTATAATTTCGTGATCCAAATATTATTTATTTCGAATAGAATTATAATTTATTATGAAAGAAACACATTACATGTACTTTTTTAGAAAAAGGGTCAATAATTGTATACTTTACTCTGTGACTACTTTTTTAAAAAATTAAACAAAAATGATGCAACGAAAGGTTAATTACCAATCCAGTATAATTACAGTTCGTTCTGAGGTGACAAATGTGTTAATTTTCGATACACCCAGTATAATTTATCGAGGAAGATATCCTTTAAAGGATTCAGATGCACGCCTCGATGTGTACGTTGGTCATCTCGCTGGTTCTCAACTGATTATTCACGTGCAATTCCGAGGATGCATTGCTGTGCACCAGGTCCTGTTTCCTGTGCACCTGTCGAAGATCCCTGACCGGCCCGATTGCCACGCAACAGCTCTCCAGGGTCTTCCTGAAGGCAGCACGAAAGTCTCGGTTGAAATAGGCGTAGATCAGTGGGTTGAGGGCGCTGTTGAAGTAACCCACCCAGAACACCACCGCGACCACCGCATCACTGCTCTCGCAGGTGTCGCAGAGAGATGTGATGATGTACCTGTCGAAGGGAAATGAAGATTTATAGCCATTTGGGTATACGAAGTTTTGAAATGAAATTTTTGTTGAGAAACTGGGTTACTTAACCCTTTCGTGCAGTGGCGCGATCATACAGCTTTCAGGGGTAAAATATTTTAATTATAAAATAGAGTAAAAATTATTTATTATAGTATTTTCCTAAAAATTGTTTATAGAATCTTTGTGTTTCTCTAATTTCCAAGTGAAGAGGAAAATGTATTTAAAAGGAAAAATACTTTTTTATTGAATTAACCCTTTCGTACATCGATTATACTGCTTTTAGAGGCAAAATATTTCAATTATAAAATAGAGTAAAAATTATTATTATGATATTTTTCTAAAAATTGTTTATAGAATGCTCGTGTTTCTCTAATTTCCCAGTGAAAAGGGAAATAGATTTTAAAGGAAAAATACTTTTTAATTGAATTAACCCTTTCGTACATCGATTATACTGCTTTTAGAGGCAAAATATTTCAATTATAAAATAGAGTAAAAATTATTATTATGATATTTTTCTAAAAATTGTTTATAGAATGCTCGTGTTTCTCTAATTTCCCAGTGAAAAGGGAAATAGATTTTAAAGGAAAAATACTTTTTAATTGAATTAACCCTTTCGTACATCGATTATACTGCTTTTAGAGGCAAAATATTTTAATTATAAAATAGAGTAAAAATTATTATTGTAATATTTTTCTAAAAATTGTTTATGGGATGCCTGTTTCTTTAATTTCCAAGTGAAGGTGGATATGGATTGTAAAGGAAAAATATTTTTTAATTGAATTAAATCTACAGTGATTCAAAGGATTCAAAGCAAAGAGTTGACGAACTTTTAAGGACGCGTTCTGAATAGCAGCCTTTGAACCCCCATATTGGCCCGATTTAGAGGCAACGTAACAGCTGTCGGAGGATATGCTATAGTGATTCAGGGAAAAGTGTATCGATAGCAAGTTGGAACGACTTCCTGCTCTGAGCTATTTAATCTCCATTCATGGAAAAGCGTGGTGTGGTTTCGTGCTCGATCGCGATTCATCCACATCGAAATTGTTTCCATTGTTGCTGCTAGAATAGATTTATTGGCTTCTTTCGCACGAGTGCCGATCAAACTTCCATGCTTCAAGTATCGTCAGAATTTTCCTGTTTTTTTTCCCCATGCCGAGGAACGCGAAAAATGTTTCCTCTCCGTTTCCAATAAAGCTGTGAATACGTTTCCCTCGAGAATTCTTCCTCGGCTATCATTATTCGATATAATAAAATTTTCAAGTGAAACGATAGATGTTTAATTACAAATTTTAAGGAGAAGATATAGTCAGATCGATACTGTTCACAATTTAGATCCGGAGTGATATTCTCCGCAGACGATTTCAATAGACATTCAACCGGGTCTTTTGTGCGTCGGGCTTCTTTTAAGCAACGGAAGAAAAAGGTTTGCTCATTAAACGACTTCTCCGTGACACCCAATGAGGCTCTGGCAGAGTGCTTTCAAGAACTTTTCCAATCCCTCAGAATCGGATACTCGTCCCCCTTTCTGTCGATTGTTACCCGAACAGTTCACGTTTCAGATAACAGGATAGATTTTTATTTGTTCTCAAATAAAATTGAGCTTTAATCGTAACATTAGCCAGCGATTCAAACTCGCATATTTTGCCTAGTTGAAATTACTCCATTCCCGTTCATGATCGAATTTAATCGCAGTGAAATTCCAGAATAGCTAATTTCATTCCTGCCTATTCGATTAATTGAAATTATGTTATACAGAAATAGTTTAATTAGATAATTAAATTGGACGTTTTAATTTTAGTTTCCGGAGAATTAAGCTTCTTCGATTATTATTAACCAAGATCACCGAACTGAAACGACGGACCATGGAGAGTGCCCCAATTTTAGTTTAATATTGTATTTCATATTATTTTCATTTTCTAAATTTTTCACTTCCTGTTGAAGATAATCATATTTCCAAAAAATAATCCTAATCTAACCTAATATAATTTTCAAAAGATAATTTTGATTCTATTTTTTTAGCCCTTCTTCATTAACCTTCGATCAGCGGACCATGGAGAGAGACGCAATTTTAATTTAATTTTGTATTTCGTATTATTTTAATTTCCTGATTCCTTTAAAAATTATATATTTAACTTTAGAATTTGTTTTGTAAGTTTGGGTCTCGATTGACCCAGAGTCCACTGTTCAAGAGTTAAACTACCTCCTAGAACAAAATAAAATTTCACATCATAAAAATGATCATTTTTACGATGTAAAATAAAAGGAAGAAACAATGCGATCGAGCTTTAAATTGCTGGGGAGCTGAATAAGGGTAGCGGAAGACCGGAAATCCGACGTCGTTTGGTCGATTCGTCGAAAAAGGAAGAGAGTGAGAGGGTGGACGAGTTAATAAAGCGAAATGTACACGGTCTGACACCTCGGTGAGCGTAGAATCGTAGCATTTTCCTGTCGACCCCATTTTCCAAGGAAAGGAACGTTCTTTGAGCGTCCTCCTCCCTTTCTTCAACTTCTGTCCTGCACCCCTCGTTTCAAGAAATAATTCTCTCCGGAGCCTTTGTTTCCAAAGCTCGACAGAGTGGACGAGTTTCTCCTCTGAAACTGAAATCGAAAACGTCCGTTCGTTTGCTCATTTAGACGTTTCCACCAGGCTGGAAGAGTTTTTCGACTATCTTCAGCTTAATTGTCGATCTTTGATAGGTTCAATTTATGTAGAACAGATGATTGATTCAAATTTTCAATCTCTAAATTTTTGGAAAATTTAATTGCTATTCATTCTATTTTTTCAATTTTTAAGAATTTATCAACCTAATATATTATTATTACTAAACCATAGTTTCATAAAAAGAATGAAATTAAATATGCTAATTACTTTAAAAAATATTATACAGAATACTTTGATTAGATAACTGAATTGGACATTTCAATTCTAATTTCTAGAGAAATTAGTCTCTTCAATTATTAACTGAGATCTCCAAACTAAAACGACGGCGGACCGTCGAGAGAGCCCCGATTTGAATTTAACCCTTTCAACTCGATTTCTTTTCGATATATTTATTTTAAGCCAGATTAAATAAATTAATGTACAACGGTAAAATTTAACGTTTTTTTATTTAAAAAAAATATTATGAATTTTACATGAAAATTTATCATCTCATCTCCAGCATGATATACGAGTTCAAAGGGTTAATTTTGTATTTCGACTGACCCAAATTTTATACAAGGCTTTGTTCTTTAGACTCCTATTTATTATTGCTTTACATTACTAAAATAAAGATCTAGTGGTTGTTCAAATAGATAGTTTTTCAATATTAAGAATTTTTCATTTTTTATTACAATATAAAAATGTTCAAAATTATTTCATTTAAAAAATAGATATCGCTTATTGTATGCCATTGAATTACGACGATGTCACAAAGGTAAACTGTGTACCAGTTACACAGTCCGTTACCTCGTTGTTGGTTATCGATGGGATTAACCTCGTGACCCCGTCGAGCTTGTGGATTCTAAGATGACCCCTTACAAATCCACCAATGACCGTGTCGCAGCGGGTTGCAGCCAATCGTAATCGATACACCAGATTTTCCCTGTACACGTATTCCAGCTAGATGGAAATGGAAATTCTGGTAACAACCGCGGTGCAACGTTGTTCCGACGTGTCCCGTGGTTTGCTAACTGCAAATTTTCGTGACGGTGTTCATGACAAGCAATAGTAAATTCAGAACGCGCGGCACAGTTCGTTCCATGAATATAGAATCGACTTAATCGTTGACTTTCACATGTGCTGATTAAATATCTTGATGTATGCTGTTCGTACACCATGATAATTCTTCATCCTCAAAAATTGTTGATGTTCCTAATAAAATATTGTTCGTTGCAATCTATCACCAGTAATTTTATAATAAGAATATCGATGAGAATTTTATACAGTATTTTTCGTCAAATTCTAAGCTTTAAATTGATGTATCATGACCGGTATTTTTAAATACTTTTCTGTCATGAAATTACAATAGAATTTAATAGTGTCAAAATTGGCTATTTGAATAATACTTAGGTGCATTGTTTGTTGCAATCTACAACCAGCCATTTTGTAATAAGAATATCGATGAGAGCTTCAGGTATTATTTTTCGTCAAGTTTTAAGCTTTAAATGGATGTAATATAAACGCTATTTTGCAGTACTTTTCTCTCATGAAATTATAATGTTTGTTGCAATCTATAACCAGCCATTTTATAGTAGGAATATCGACGAGGGCTTTATGTAATATTTTTCGTCAGGTCCTAAGCTTTAAATTAATGCAGCATAAGCGCTACTTTGCAGTACTTTTCTGTCATAAAATTATAACAGAATTTAATACTGTAAAAATTGGCTATTTGAATAATACTTGGATGCATTAATTGTTGCAATTAATAACCAGCCATTCTGTAGTAAAAATATCAATGTTGGCTTTATGCAGTATTTTTTGTCAGGTCTTAAGCTTTAAATTGATACAACATAAGTACCATTTTGCAGTAATTTTCTGTCATGAAATTATAACAGAATTTAATACTGTAAAAATTGGCTATTTGAATAATACTTGGATGCATTAATTGCTGCAATTAATAACCAGCCATTCTGTAGTAAAAATATCGGTGCTGGCTTTATGCAGTCTTTTTTGTCAGGTTTTAAGCTTTAAATTGATATAACATAAGTACCATTTTGCAGTAATTTTCTGTCATGAAATTATAACAGAATTTAATACTGTAAAAATTGGCTATTTGAATAATACTTGGATGCATTAATTGCTGCAATTAATAACCAGCCATTCTGTAGTAAAAATATCGGTGCTGGCTTTATGCAGTCTTTTTTGTCAGGTTTTAAGCTTTAAATTGATACAACATAAGTACCATTTTGCAGTAATTTTCTGTCATGAAATTATAACAGAATTTAATACTGTAAAAATTGGCTATTTGAATAATACTTGGATGCATTAATTGCTGCAATTAATAACCAGCCATTCTGTAGTAAAAATATCGGTGCTGGCTTTATGCAGTCTTTTTTGTCAGGTTTTAAGCTTTAAATTGATATAACATAAGTACCATTTTGCAGTAATTTTCTGTCATGAAATTATAACAGAATTTAATACTGTAAAAATTGGCTATTTGAATAATACTTGGATGCATTAATTGCTGCAATTAATAACCAGCCATTCTGTAGTAAAAATATCGGTGCTGGCTTTATGCAGTCTTTTTTGTCAGGTTTTAAGCTTTAAATTGATACAACATAAGTACCATTTTGCAGTAATTTTCTGTCATGAAATTATAACAGAATTTAATACTGTAAAAATTGGCTATTTGAATAATACTTGGATGCATTAATTGTTGCAATTAATAACCAGCCATTCTGTAGTAAAAATATCGATGCTGGCTTTATGCAGTCTTTTTTGTCAGGTTTTAAGCTTTAAATTGATATAACATAAGTACCATTTTGCAGTAATTTTCTGTCATGAAATTATAACAGAATTTAATAGTTTCAATGCATGTCGATGCATTGTTCGTTGCAATCTACCATCAGCCATTTTGTAGCAAGAATATCGATAAGGGTTTTATGTAGCCTTTTTTCCAATGCTTTAAGCTTTAAATTGATGTAGCATAAACGCTATTCCGCAGTAATTTTCTGTCATGAAATCGTGACAGACTTTATGCCAGAATCATCCAATCTGATACGGCAACTACGAACGCTTAACGCTCGAGACGATAGGAGAACGGGATGCAACAGCATTTCACGGATAAATTTCGCAGTTTCGAGGTAACGAGCATCGTGACCAATCGCGTGTAGCGAAACGATGCAGCTGCAATCTGGCTGCAGCTGGGATATTTCGAAACAAGTCTCGCGCACAAATGTATCCGTGTTTGGAGCCCTGTGCAAGCAACCGGAGATCGCGGCGGTGCTCTTCCTTTTTCCACCGGATGATATCGATCCGGTTCCCCACACCGTTTCCTCCCCCCATTCCTCCTCGAATTACCAAGCACTTAAGAATTTCGGGATGCACCGCAATATCGAAGATGCTCGAAGCTGGCCCATCGAAATTCCACTGAAGTATAAGAAGGACCTACTTTTTACCCTCGACTTTCCTCCACTTTTCCTTTTTTTCCATCGACCGTCCTCTAAACGTTGGAATCTCGAGGGTGGATGATGAGATGGATACGTTTGCTAAGAGGGAAGTTCTATGGGATTGCGCTCGTGAAAATGTCTGTAAGGGAAAACACTGGAAGAGTTTGAATTGATGCATCTTCTCGCAGAAATGGTCGTGTTCCTTCACTCGAACAAATTATTCGCTTAACTTTATTGCGCTATGCTTTCAAAGATTTCACTTTTTAATTTTATATTTCTCTGAATAAATTGTTTAAAAATTTGAAAGAACGTTGCATGAAAAATAGAAATGAATGGAAAAGTTAAACGAGAAAGATTGCTGGGTTAATTAGCGAACAGAGGTGAATTCGTTTAAAAATAATGTTACAACGAATTTATATCGATAAATAACAAATTTCATTGATTAAATATTATTTAAACGGCGGACCATCGTTGGCGCAAAGTGTATTGACGCGAAATCAAAGGGGTTGGAACGAAAATTTACCGTGGCTCGTGCATCGCATCGTTTGCACCGATCTATAAATAAACTTCTGAAAGCGAGCGTTTATCGTTGGAATTTATTAAAGCTTGAAAATTCCATCGATGATGCGTATTTTTCGATGATTTTATAAGCCATTATTTATCCCGATATCGCGAAACATTGAAATTACTCCTGAAATACACGAAATGTTTCTTCAGAAACGAGGGGGCTAATGTGGTAGTTGACCCGCAATGAAAATCTGTTTCCTAACGAATGCGTGTAATTATTATACCATCGGCGAACAGAAATTTTTAATTAAATTTAATCTTGTTACCAGAATATCGAAACCGCAAAGTTGGAATAACGTTATTTTCATTTGCGCGAAATTTTTTCGCAGTTTGCTGTTTACGATCCTTCGATATCACGAAACGTTTCCGGGGTTTTACGAGAAAACTAGCAGAAAAGTTTTCGCATAAGTATCATCGGCTTTCCTCGTTACGATACACGATCGCAGTTCTGGTTAATATGATGAAAGTAGTTTCGAAGAGTACTTTTAGAACGCGTGGACGCTTAACGCTCCTTTCTCCTCATTTAGTACATTCCAACGAGTTTCCTAATTACCGGAGTGTCGGCTTAACTTGGATTGCGTTTCCTTTAGAGACGTGGGAGAACTTGAAAATGTCGGGTCGGGTCGGGTTGGGTCGAGGAATTTTTTGGGGATATTCAAAAGTGTCCAAAAATTCGAAACCAGAGTGGTATTTAATAAAATTAGTGTCGTAATGTCATTTGGATTCTCTAAATTTTCGGGTATTCGATTCGACCCGGTTCGATCTGACTTATCGTCCCGATATTTTCAGGCACCCAACTCGACCCGACCCGATCATCGGGTTCCCACCCACTTCTAAGTTTCTTATACCTTGTTAAACCGATGAGAAATACCGTAAAATGAACGAAATTAAAAACGAGGTTAATTATAGAAATTTCGCTTTTTAACCTTCGAACCCAGGAAAATTGATTAACCTCTCCGATAAATTTGATCACAAAGCTGTTACTTTATTAAACAGTGGATTATAGATTGAATTTTTGGCTGGAAAATTTAATAACATGCTGGCTAGATTGAAGCGTAGATTGAAATATCGCATAAAATTCAATTTACCGAAAGTGATGTGTTCACAAAGCGATGATTACCAAGAGCAATTACACATCGTTAAATCGATATAAAATTGACGTTCAGTTGAAGAATATGAAAAAGTGTTTTTTAAATAGAAGGTACGAAATGAAATTTACCAAAGAAAGAAAGGAAGCCAACAAGCGAGAAACGCTGACATGATGATTCCAAGTGTCCTGGCAGCCTTTCGTTCTCTCCTCATTTTACTGCTGCTAGTGATCGGTGGATCCTCTGGTTGTGGATCTGGCGATGATTGATCCACTGTCGGAAGTGTGGTCAGACCAGCGGAAATGCCATTGATCTGCAGATGCTTGTTCAAAAGCGCAGCCGCAACTTTGCTCCTGCGAACAAACGTTCCATTTATGCACCTCTGTTTATTTAACAACTTCAAAAGCAATTTATTTTTTCTGTCACAGTTAGAAACGAGCAGGTACATTATAATAAGTATCATTAAAAATAATTCATGTTGCATTTTTAAATTTCATTTGTCGCTGGATTATTCAACTCGCAATTAATTATCATTAGTAAAGTATTAATAATACTTTAAATATTCTTTATTCTTTTGCTTGGAAATCGTTTAATTAAATTAAATCCGTGAATTAGGTCATTTGCCTCGACCGTAATTACTTGCAAAACATTGCATTAAATTTTAATAAATCCAATTATTATAGGGACTTTCTCATCAATTCGATTAAAATATATTTTTTTATCCTTTAATGATTGACTTGGATACTGAATTAAATCCGAATTGTGGCTCTCTCCATGGTCCGCCGTCCAAAGATTAAGAAACGTATTATATTATATTTCTTACTTTCTTTGGAAAAGGGTTAATTATCTTATTAGTGACTATGGTATGAACTATTTTGAGACAAAAAAAACATACAAAAATTTTACAAATCGATTCATAATTTTTACAACCATCCATTAAAATCGCGTGTCGAGAAAACCGCGTTTAAAATTTTGTTTTACATTTTCATATCTGTTTTATTAAAATTAGGTACTAATTACAGTGATTTCCTTTAATTAGTTATTCCAACACCGTATAGGACTTTGTATAACTTAAGAAGCTAATTCCTTGCCTCTTGATGAGAAAGTCTCCTCAGATTCTCTTCGTTTATTAAAGTATGATTACTTTCAAACTTCGGTTGTTAATAATTTCTAGTAAAGAATCTTAAACGAAATTACAACGACAAATATGCGCATATTTTCTATGTGAGGTTGGTATTCCCTGTGTGTAGTATTTTCCAAATAGCGCACGTATTCGAAGTTCCAGGGAAGAATAGAGATTGTTATACTCGATGCAAAGCCCGTCGGGCTATAGACGGTCTATTGTCACTGGAACCCTTTGTCTCCCTCTCTCCAAAGCTCTTCTACTCCACCATGACTCTTCGCTCTTGGAGTTGTTTCAAAAGTTGAATTAAAATAACGTTTTCTCGAGGCATTGGAAAGTCTGAGGGGGCGTCAACGACCCCCGCGTTATTCGATACTTTAAATTGCAAAATGAAAGGATCGTGCTTTGAATAATTGCAATTATCGGCGTGCTGAAAATAGAAAATTGTTATTCCCGTTCGCAGAAGTTGACGTTAATTAATGAAACCTTAAACGGGTCTTCAACAGATTCTGTCACTCAAATAAACTCTTCCCTGTTAAATTGAATTATACCGAATGCAGATTGCTTTGTTAACTGCACTAATTATAGTTCCTTCTGTTACATTCAACGCGAGCTAAATCGCAAGTTAGCAGTAACAGAAGCTTCTTAACAACATCTGCAAACATTTCCTTTCTTAGTTAAGGAAAACTGAACTGCTGTTCGAGTTCTGAAACTTCGCCCAGCTGTAAAAGCAAGAAACCGTATTTAAAACAGTCGTAAAAACAAGATATGAAATTGTAATTTTGGATAGATTAAAATTAATTAAAAAAGAGATTATTCTTTCCAAGGAAATTGAGGGAAGATAAAATGAGAGACAAGCATTTATCTTTGAACGTAATATTTCCTCTCTTTTCAAACACTTAATTTATTTAAAACATGTTATTTAAGATCCACAAACAACGAAGTAAATAATTAGGGTTGAATATAAAAGGATGCTCTAAAAACAGTCGAAATTTTTTTGAAAATAGATGAGTTTATCTTCCATTTTATCTTCTATCGATTTAACTAAAGAGACCACTTCTTACTCGAAGGAAATTAACCTTTTTAAATTTTATAAGAAATTTAATGGATGAAATTCAATTCAATAGGGTTTGGAAATTAAATTCATGAAACTCTTCACTATACCTACACGCATAATAGTTAAATAAAACTTATAATTGTGGATGGAAAAATATTCAAAAAATCTACTATTTTCACCTCCAATATTTCTGAATTATATATGTAATTATTTTAAAGAGCAATTCCTGTATTATTTTCTCTGGAAACTTGAATTTCAGTGATGTAGTCGACCATAAGTCAGACGTTCGCTCAGGATCAGTAGTAATATCAATACATAGTCAGACGTTGACTCAATGAAAGATTAATCAGATTTATTTTATTCTAACTAATTTTATTATAAATTTAGGAACTTATTACTACAAATTAATAATCTAGATTTGATTTATTCTCAATACAATTTTTGATCAAGAGGCACAATTTCAGTTTTCTAATAATTTTTTATCTTTCACTTTGCGAACATTGCTCATAAAAGTCAGTTAATCTGAATACTTGTCAAGGAAACGACCGAAGTTTTCCGCCCTTTGATCGACCATCAACTTTTTGCTGTTGACAAAAAAGGAAAGGAAAGTATCTAGCTACAGTGTGTCAGGAAGAAGAGAAACAGCAGATGCGAAAGCAATCGAGGCAAACTTTTATTAGCTTCTTGGAAAATTACTTCTACATCCCGATCGGGAACTTTGGACTTTGATCTGAATCTCCTCTCAATTTCCTGCTGATGAGGATTCTTTCGTTCAAAGCTGAGAAAAGCCTCGCGCCTTTCTTGAAGGATCTGGAAGAAAAAAAACTTTCAACCAGGGAATCGAATTAACTCACAATTTCACCGTTCCTGCATCGAACAGGAAACGAAGATACTTGCCCTCGTTTCGCTTTCTTGGATCCATTTAACCGGCAATCGACCGTGAATTTCATAGTATCGGGACCGATTTGATAGCGCGCTTCGAAAATCGAGAAAATCAAAAACCGACGTTAAACTTTACGTTTACGATCTTTCCTTTGCTTCGGAAGAAGTTGCTGGAAGATATTGCATTTAATTCAAAATTATTTGCTTTAAGATGAAATGAGATATAAAAATTTGTTATATAAAAAGACAAGGTTAATAAATTTAATAAATTACAAAACAGGCGTAGACAATTTAACGCTCGGATGGCGGACCATGGAGAGAGCCACAATTTTAATTTAATTCTGTACCTCGTATTATTTTAATTTATTAAATTTTACATTATTCCTTTAAAAATTATTCTTCCAATGTATGAAACTCCTCCGTTTAAAAATTATACCCTTTACTTCAAGTTAATATAACATCGATAAAAAAAAAAGATTGCTTCTATTAAAACTGTCTCAACAACGATGACACTCTTGTTTCCTGGGTCCATTATTTGTTCAGCACCCTGTGCACTCCCACTTTTTATCCCCATGTTTTTCGCTTCTCGTAATCCTCTAACGATGAGCCTTCGAATCGTGCGACCCAGTTTAACAAGTGGCTGCACCGTGCAAATATTCTGCGAATACCAGATACGTGCTGGTGCAGGAAATAAGCAATCAACATCTGTAGAGAACCGTAATGGTGTCTTTTTTTATATTTTAATTCACATCCTTTCTATGTTTCTGCTGCAATTATTCTTTCTCAATTTTCTCATTCCATCGATGTAATTGCAAATCGTTTATAAAAAATAAAAATTTCAAGAGTGCATTTCTGTGTTAGAACACGAAGAAGAAAAACAAATAGAGTAGTTCAAGATTGTAGACGTTGATCAGACAAGATTTGATAGAAAGTTTCCTCGAAAACAGATTTCGTCACCGACTTTTTCGTGTCCTGAAAACCTCAAAGACACCGAACGACCGAGTCTCGAATTGAACACGTCTTCAAATTCACAGCCACGATTTATTCGTAAAGCAGCAGGGAAACGAGATCCGTTCTCGAGACACTGTGACTCCTTTGGCCGTTCAGAGGAAAAAATTAAATCTGTGGCTATTCGTGAACGTCTGCGCTTTCAATTCCACTTCAAAGGATTCCGTCTATAGTATCTGGCACGATTGATGCTCCAACAAGCCGGGATCTTCCTGGAAGCACGACTTTTATTGTCAAAGCGGAAACTCATCCTATCCGTTTGATCTGTTGAAAACTTGAAGAAATTCGAGAACTAAAACCAAAATTGGGAAATGCAAAATTAAATTAATTAGATTTGTGGCACTCTCCATGGTCCGCGCTCTTGGGGCCTTCTTCATGGTCCGCCATTCGAGGGTTAAATACACAATCTCAGAATCGGATTTAAAATTAATATAATTTTTTCTTTTTACGTTCTTTATCTGCAGCCTCTGGCCATTGAATTAACCATAAATTAATATAGAAAAGCTTACATTATATTTTCTTGTTTTTTTATTAAATGTAACATCATAGTAGTCGATGAACTTTATTATAAATATCCGTTTACGTCTTTCGATTTGATTAAATAGGTAGGAAATAAAAAGAAAAAAGAAATGAGAGATATAATTGAGGCAATTAGTAATTGGGGCAATCAAATGTACATTATCTTAGCGTGATAAAAGACAGACGTAAGTTTAAGTCTTACATTCTTCCCTAAACAACTTCTTCCACGCGACGAAAATAATCAAGTTCCACCGTTAAAAAGCGCTGAGTGTTTCCAGGCGTATTGAGTTTGGAAATATTGCATTCCGTTCCATCACCGTAGTCGTGTACTAAAATCGCGTAACAAATTTTGTTCCGGTTCGATATTTCCGTGCAATGTTTCCAACTAAAATTGTGGAGGAATTTTTTTTTTTTTTTTAGAGAATCAAGGAACGATAGTTCAGGCATCACTAAAAAAATCACAATATTTATTCAATTCTTTTTTTTGAATAAAACAAAAGTAAGTTAAAAATTGATAGAGGTAGATTGAATATTAATTAGCAATTTGTTAAGTAAAAATTTGATTCAAATTCCCTTTGAACCACTTAAACAGTTGGGTATTTGAAAAGAGAGAATAATTTCAATTTTAATTGCGAATATATGCATTGCAAATAATCTCTTCGGCGATAATTAAACCGAATTAATGGCTGAATGCATAAGTAAAATTTCTGGGGAACCGACTGGTATCCCCGTTGGACGATCTTGTTGGAAATTTACAGAATAAG